TTTTTTTTTTTTCCTGCTTTATTGAGGTATAATTGCCATTTAACAAACTGCCCATATTTAAAGCTTGTGATTTGATAAGTTTTGACAAATGTGTGCACTCATGAAACCATCACCATAACCACAGTAACGAACATATTGCCACCCCTAAAGTTTCCTTATGTCCCTTTGTAATCTCTTCTGTCCCTCATTCCTCAGACAACCACTGATCTGTTTCCATCGCTCTAGACTAGCTTGCATTTCCTAGAAGTTTATGTAAATAGAATCGTACAGTATGCATTCTTTTTTGTCTGGCTTCTTTTACTCAGAATAACTATTTTGAGATTCATTCAAGATATTGTATGTATCATCAGTATTCATCCCCTTTCAGTGCCGAGTAGTATTCCGTTGTATGGATGTACCACAATTTGTTTATACATTCACCTGTTGATAAACATTTGCGTTGTTTCTAGTTTTCACCTATTATGAATAAAGCTGCTGTGACCATTTGTCTTTAAGTCTCTGTGTGGACATATGTTTCCCTTTCTCTTTGGTAAATACCTAGGAGTGAAATGTCTGGGTCATAAAATGAATACGTTTAATTTTTATTTTTATTTTTATTTTTTGAGACAGAGTCTCACTCTGTCACCCAGGCTGGAGTGCAGTGGTCTGATCTCTGCTCACTGCAAGCTCCGCCTCCTGGGTTGACACCATTCTCTTGCCTCAGCCTCCCGAGTAGCTGGGACTACAGGTACCTGCCACCACACCCGGCTAACTTTTTGTATTTTTAGTAGAGACGGGGTTTCACCTTGTTGGCCAGGAAGGTCTCGATCTCCTGACCTCATGATCTGCCTGCCTCGGCCTCCCAAAGTGCTGGGATTACAGGCGTGAGCCACCATGCCCGGCCCATGTTTAATTTTTTGAGAAACCAAAAAATTGTTTTCCAAAGTGGTTTGACCATTTCATTTCATTTATTTGTTTATTAAAAGAAAAAAATTTTTTTGAGATGGAGTTTTGCTCTTGTTGCCCAGGGTGGAGTACAGTGGCACCATCTCGGCTCACTGCATCCTCCACCTCCTGGGTTCAAGCGATTCTCCTGCCTCAGCCTCCTGAGTAGCTGCAGTTACAGGTGTGTGCCACCACGCCCAGCTAATTTTTGTATTTTTAGTAGAGACGGGGTTTCATCATGTTGGCCAGGCTGGTCTCAAACTCCTGACCTCAGGTGATCCACCTGCCTCGGCCTCCCAAAGTGCAGGTGTGAGCCACTGCCTCTGGCCAAGAAAAATTTTTTTTAAACGAAGATGAAGTCTCACTCTGTCTAGCCCCTTTTATTTTCTTAACAGTGTCTTTGGAAAATAACAATTTTTAAATTTGGGTGGAGTCTAATTTATTCATTTTTTTTTCTTTTAGTGCTTTTTGTGTCATATTTAAGAGTCTTTTTTGGGGGCCGAGCATGGAGGCTCACGCCTGTAATCCCAGAAATTTGGGAGGCTGAGGCGGGTGGATCACCTGAGGTCAGGAGTTCAAGACCAGCCTGGTCAACGTGGTGAATCCCTGTCCCTACTAAAAATATGAAAATTAGCTGGGTGTGGTGACACATGCCTGTAATGCCACCTACTCAGGAGGCTGAGGCAGGAGAATCACTTGAACCTGGGAGGTGGAGGTTGCAGTGAGCTGAGATTGTGTCACTGCACTCCAGCCTGGGCGAGAGAGTAAGTACTCTGTCTCAAAAAAAAAAAAAAAAAAGTTTTTTTTTAACTTCAGCAATTACATTTTTCATGTCATTTTTTCAGCCAAAGATACTTTGGCTCTTTAATGTCCCTGGTCATCTTTTATAGTCTTCTGTTGCTTTATTATTTTTTAAAAACTTAATTAATTGTGCCAGGAATTATGGCTCACATCTGTAATCCCAGCACTTTTGGGAGTCTGAAGCTGGAAGATCACTCGAGCCTAGGATTTTGAGATTAGTCTGGGCAACATCATGAAATCCTGTCTCTACAAAACATAACAAAAATTAGCTTGGCATAGCAGCAAGCACCTGTAGTCCCAGCTGCTCGGGAGGCTAAGGCAGCAGAATTGCTTGAAACCAGGAGGCAGATGTTGCAGTGAGCTAAGATCCTGCCACTGCATTCCAGCCTGGGCAACAGAGCTAGAGCCTGTCTCGAAAAAAACCAAATAGTAATTAATTGTTTCACCTGGGTGTGGTGGGTCACACCTGTAATCCCAGCACTTTGGGAGGCCCAGGTGGGAAGATCACTTGAAGCCAGGTTGCCCAGGCCTGGTCTTCGAGCTCG